TTAAATTCTTAAGTCTCTGTTTAAAATTTCTTAAATCCAAAGAAGGTAAAACTCACCAGGTATTGAATTAAGCTCACCATTTTGAAGGTCTCTAATATCCATAAAGTGGTTAAATTGAACATTTCCAAATGTAATTAGAAAGTGAGTTAAAGGCTCCACCGCTGCTGAGAGCAAAGATGCCAGCTCCTGGCACTGAAACCTGCAGGAGACCACTGTTTTACAGTCTCCTTGTGAGAAGCTGCCATTCACAGCACTCATGGATGATCTCCTCTTTCTCTCCAGAGAGCTTCAAAGGACCAGTCTACTCGCCGGTGGTCATTGTCTCCGCTCATTCACAGAGACGTCTTCCGTTAGCCATGACTCATACCAGAAGCCTTTCCATGTATTTCCCAAGGGGTGTACTTGATGCCATGCTGAAGAACAATGCCATTCAAAATATATTGGAATTTTTATAAAAATAATAAAAAATATGTACTTTATACCCAATGACCTCATTTTCTTGTACAGGTAGTCCTTGCTTAAGGACCATAAATGGGACCAGCAATTCCACTGCTAAGCAGCAGAGTCATTAAGCAAATCATCCCTGGCTGTTAAGCAAGACATCAATGTCTTGCCAAATCTTGGGGGTGCTCACGCTGTCCCTCCTTCAAAATCATTCTAAAAATGCAAATCTTCACATTGGTGGGAGGTGGCACCCTCAGTCAAAATGGCCTAGGGGCGCCATATTCCCTTGAGGCAGCACTGGTTTTAAGGCTTTGAATGAAGGAAAGTCTCATCCACTGCTAAAGCGCAGTCTTGCTGATGCTGGATGTCGAGCTATTACAAGTATCAGAGGTGTTGCTGCTTGAGTAGTCTAGTTGATTTATTTTTGTTTGTCTTGATTATGGTGTTTGATCACCTTACGGACTTAGGTAAGAAACTCTCATTCTGCAACTAAAGGCAGAATCTTTGGGATCACTATGAGAGTATCTGGAATATAGTTTAATGGAAAGAGTGAGGCAGGGATTCTGGCAACAGATTTGGGATGTCATGAAAGGGCAGCAAATCATTTACTCTTTTATTTCTTAGAACTGTATTTTTACAGCAAGGAATCAGGAAAGATATTGTGAGATTTTCTGCCTCAGGGGCCAAAATAATTGGACTTATTTTGGAAACTATGCACCATGATGGCTGAAGGATCAGTGTGTACTCCTACTGCTGCTCTACTTCAGTAGCAAACATTTCCCATTGGTTGTATATTCAATTATTATCTATCCACACACATATTCCCAGACCCCCATATATATCATCAGGGGCTCAAATCAGGATTCTTATACCTATTATTGTAATGGTTCTATAGAGTATTTCCCAGCAGAAAAATTTCCCAACCATGTGACTGTTTTTTCCCCCCTAGTACAAACTTTCAAAAAAGTCATTAAGTTAATACAGGTAGTCCCCGGGTTAAGAACGCCCGGTATAAGGATGACACATAGTTAAGAATGGAGCCTATTGTAGCAACATTTGAGTTACACATAATGATTCAAGTTCAATACACAATGGTTTGAGTTCATTAGACAATACTACTTATACAGTATTGTACAATAATACTGTTCCAGCTTACATACAAATTGGACTTGAGGACAGACCTTGGGAATGGAACTCGTTCTTAAACTGGGGACTACCTGTATTCAGCAAATCAATATCTATGTGTGGAACTTCATATGAAGAAGTCTGCATGGATGATGAAATCCATTTGAAGAAATGAAACAAAGTAAAATAAAATGGTTTATGGATATACAGGAGCATTAGCATTTACTACGAGGGAGTAAACACACAAAGGAATGATCATAAAGTGCTTTGGCCTCCACTGGAATACGTGCAAAAATCCCATTAAAGAAACACTTTATTTGCTCAGTGGGGCACTGTTGTCAGGAAAAATGAGAAGTGAGGAGAAACCAAAAGGCTCCAATTTACCAGAAACTCAACAGTTATGGCTTTGCATTATCTTATTATGGCATATGCTTCTTGGCATTGATATGGTATTGATTTTCATCATCCATTCAGCAGATATAGATGTTCGTAATAGGCCTCAGATACAGTCCTCTTACTTGGCAAGGAAATTCCCCCTCACAAGGCACAGCCTAGATCTTTCTAAAGGTACATTAATTGGTTCTGCTTGCCACAACACTCTGCCTCTCCTCTCCTCTTTTCCTTCCATCTCCCCTAACCCACATATATCTCTTCCAGGCTCCACTCAGATCTATCTTGTCATCCTCCCACTTCAACATACAACATCAGCATAGAAGCCTGGCTACTCCCAGTTTTGGCTTCAGTCTTTCCCTCTTGGAACCAATATTTTTTTCTTGATTTCCTGGGATCAGGGTGGCCACAGAGCAGTAACAAGGCTAATGAGATCGCATGCCCCAACTGTATTTCGGAGTTACCAGAATGTTCTCTAATGTTCAGCATTTTTTAAAAAACAAAAGTATTAGTAGGTTTATGTCAAAGTATTAATTGTCAAGACATGAATTCTAACAAAATCTTCCTATCACTTTGCAAATGTCTTGTTTGCCAAGAATAAAAAAGAGGGAATTAAAATTGCCATTGAATTATTCTAATAGCTCTTTTCCTCAGCTCTTTAAAATGAGAAGATTCAGAATAAATAGCTATTTACTGAAGAGATCTGACTGCTTCCTTCATCTGGAAGAATTGCTACTGTATAAAAGAGGATTGTTCTCATTAATACAGACAACATGGTATTTGGTGCTGTTTACAAGCTTCTCCTCACTTGCACACAAACCACAAGCCAAACATTCCCTGCCAACCTCTTTTTAATATAATGTCCTCATAACATTGCCTTCATCTTATCACCAGCCCACACTTGGGCCAGGACTATGCTGAACTATTCTCTCAGGTCCATAATAGAATTTAGTCTACAAAGAACAATAATCTTATTAAAGATAATTCTTGATTTAACAGTGAGATACAAAGTTGGTTACAGTTCCAAACTTAAATTTTCTCATCAAAGAAGCATTATATTTGAATGTTGGAACTACTTTAATTTAAATGCTCTTTATAATCCCATTTCCTTCTAAATTTCAGCAAAAGGAAAAAATATAATCAGGTGTTGTTGATTTTTCTATTAAAAGCTATTGCTTTTACACAAGTGCTTTTACACATTTATGAAATGCTTAATGGGGTCCAGACTGGACAAGGAACTTAATTGTCATCTACTTTTACTCTGTGAGCTGGGGACTCCTACACGGGTAATCCTTTATGAAACAGATCTTCAACATAGCCAGACAGTGACATTCAAAGTATTCCTTCATCTCAGGAACACTTTGAATGTCACTGTCAAAGTATGTGACATTCAAAGATCCACATCTCAACCCTTGAAGGAGTGTTCTGCAGCTCCCATTTCCAAGGAATAAGCTCTACTGCTCCATCAGCAACTCTGGTTGAAGAGTTTTCTGCAGGGGAATAACAGCACTTTGTCATCTCCCCTCTGAGTGCCAACTCCATATTTGAGGGGATCCTGGGTGAAGTGCACTCTATCTTAATTTACCTGGCAGTGTAGTGTTATCCCAATCCCTCAAGAAATTATAACTGAGTTTTACAGATCAGCACTGAAGGAATCTGCTGTAGGCTCCAGCAGCTATCCTAGGTTGAGAAGTGCTGTTCCCGCCCTGTGTCCCCTTTCCTCCCATCTTTTTAAAAGAGAATTCCAGGCTCAGCCTTTGCCAGGAAGAAAAAGTTAAGGCTGATGAGGAATGGTGAGGTGCATGACTCTGAACAATAGGTGAAACTGCTAGCCATTCTAACATTTTGAGAAATAGCAAGCTGATGCATGGGATTTATTTAAAAGCTTAAGCTGTTGATTTGGCTTATTATAAGGCACTGAATTACTAGAGTTAAGTAGAGCTCATTGTGGATTATTAAAAAAATGGCAGGTTAGTTTAAACCAGTGGTACTCAAACTTTCCCATCTTAACTCCCACCACCAATAATTGTATTGAAGTGCCTGTCTCTCACGAAGATAGAAACCAAAAGGCCACTTCTTTTTTTCAAGGGCATATACATGTTTCCAAGTGTTCTGTTATTCTATTTATCAGTTAACAATAAATGTTAAGGACGTTAAAACTCAGAATAATGCAGCTGACAATACAGCTGTAAATGAAAATAAGACTGATTGCTCACTAGGGCTGAAAAATATTTGTCATTGTGGAAACAGTATACTCCAGCACAAATAAAAAAATATGTCCATATAATGAGGGAGGAATAACTGGGGCCGAAGCACTGTTTGTGGGAGCATTTTTTCACCAACCCAACCCAACCCAACCCAACCCAACCCAACCCAACCCAAC